TTAAAAATTGGTGCAAGACTTCATAAAGTGGAGCTATTGATGAGCCAGGTATGATCTGCTCAGTCTTAACGTGTCTGGAGTTTTTTGATGAAAAAAATATTGCTGTTTATTGCCAACATTCTCATATAATGAATATTTTTCCAGGTCTCATAAAAGCTCATGATCGAGAAATGAGAATGTATTTGTAGTCACAGGAACAGTAGATGTTTCAGTGGTAAATTACTAGAACAGGACTTGGTTTTTAATTATGGAACTAGTATTGACTCTGGACAGTGCTTCTTAATTTTGATTCTTGATTCTTCTTGATTTTGTCTTCATGCTAGTTCAGGTAAGAATGTTGTAATAATAGTTTGTCATTTGAAGTGGTATTTCATGGTGCTACACAAGTGGCCAGCTCATGTTAAACTCTAGCTTAAACTTTCTTTAAAATGACTTACTAAATGCTGTGCTGTAGTCCACTGCCTGAATTTATTAAGGTGTAAAACTAACAGAGTTCATGTAGGGCATAGTCTTCCCTTTTAGACTGAAAGCTGGATTGGTTTGATTTACAAATGTTCACTTCTGTTTAAGAAAGCAGAATATTTTCCTCTCCCCTGCAAAATTATTCCATGTGTTGTGTGTATGTTATCGCTCTTCAGTAACTGTGGGGTTTAGAGAACAAGGACATACCAAGGGAAGTTATCAGTTTACATCCTTGTTCTGATTTACCAAGGAGGCACAAAAATATAGTCCTCTTTCAGAGTTTCAGGTATGAAGGTTAGACCTGTAATGTTCATAATGCTTCCTTAACCCCAAGGTGGAAAAAAGATTAGTAAGTACGCAAGCTCTGTCAATTTCATTGTAGTTCTCCTGAAGAACCTAAAGGAAAAAAAACTAAAGAGAAAATTTCTTTGCCACCAATTTGGGGAATAATTTTCTACCTTGTTGTCACTGTATTTAGAGCTGTATCTTCTCTTGTAGCTGCTGAGCAACTGATTAGAAATCTGGGAGTAGATTTCTCATTGTAGAAAAAGGGTTTTTTTAGTCATATTTTGTAATACTTATTTAGGGGTTCACTGATCTCTTAAAGAGACATTGATACATGAAATCAATAATTCTGTTTGAATTTTCAGAGGAAACAAATTCATACCTTAACTATAGTGGAGATGCGCTATTGCTGTACTTGCATACACGTAATCCATGTCTCAGATAGTCTGTGTTCTTGCCATGCATTCTGTTAAGGACCTAGCAGATTGCTCACTTCTTATAGAGGCATCCCCTGAGAGGAGGGAGGGAAACTGAACTTCTTGAAAAGGAGCAGGTGGTAGGATTAGAACTGAGATGTAAATGGGAGATGAAAATGACCCTTCAATGAAATACCTCTGATTTACCACAGGTGTGCATAACATTCTGGCTCTGAGCTAGATGGTTGTTGATGATTTTTCTTGCTTCAAAAGATAACCCCATACATGCATGAAAATAAGATAATACCTCAGAAAGATCATGGAGTGTGCGATTGTGTTATTAGTTAGAAGACTGCAAACACAGAAGATTTCCCCAGAGAGTAGCACTGCATCTTGCAATCTTTTTCCAGAAAATCTTATGAGTAGAAAAAATGAAATTAAACATTTCCCGATCAGTTTCTAACGTGCCACTGTAATAACAGGAATTCACTTCATAGAAATCTGTCCAATTTCGCATCAGTGAGCGACTAAAAATCTTTAATGATTTGATGAACTCCAGCTTGGCTCACAAAAGGCAGAAATCAGTGACAGAATAGAGAAAAAAATATATAGCTATGGTACGTTCAGCTTGCAAGAGATTTATTTTTTTTCTAGAGAAATTATTTTCTTTTTTTTCTTTTTATGTTTAAAGCACTGATTTCTGAGTAGTTTCCTTTGGAAAGCTTTTCTTTTTTTGCCTCTCTCCTCACTTTTGTTGTTGCTTATTATTTGTTTAGTCACATAGGATATAGCTTGCTTTAAACTCAGTGAAGAGTGTTACTCCTTTTTCTGTTAATGCAGAGAACAGTACATGTGCAAACACAGTACCTCAATGGTATTCTGGCTGAAAAAATGTGCAATGTATTTGCTTTCTGTCATAGAATCATGGAGCTGCCAAGGTTGGAAACTAACTCCAAGGTTATCTTCCGTCACATCTAGACCCCTGTTGAGCTGGCTGTGTAATGAGAATGCAGAGGGCTTTAGCAGCAGTGCCAAGCTCCTGGCTGGTAAGCTCAGAGAGAAAGCATCCAGCATAGGGGAGTTTGCCTTCTGGGAAGTGTGTGATGTTTCTGGAGCATGAGACTTGAAGACTCTGTCAAAACTCAAACCCAACCACTTACATAGTGGAATATTTCCTTTAAAGAGTAGGTCTAAAAGGAAGAGAACTAACATGATACAGTTTTACATTAATCGAATGTCTGTGCCTTTACATATACTCGGAGAATCCTAGGGTTATTTGGAAGGAGAGGGGGCTGTTGGATATCAGACTGTTCCTCAGTTATTGTCATCACAGAACAATTTCTGCTACACTGAGGCTGGGATCATGCAGTGCTGCAAAAGACAGAATGCTCTAAAGAAAGCTGTGCTTTCCCTGCTGGCTTCCAGGGTGACTCCATGGACCCCTGGCAGTTGATCTTGTACATCTTGTTCTGTCCCAACTTAAATGGCCTTGTAAACCAGGAACGCCTGTTCCTTGCAGTTTGCTGGCTGCTGGCATACAAGCCTGTTTGCCAAGCCTTCGGGGGCTGAAAGGTGTGAATGAGGAGTGCTGACTTCCCTTTTGCGTTATTAGTGTCGCCTATCAGTGTGCAGTTTTATTTGCAGAAAGAATTTCTGTTCCTTGATTAAGAGAATGACAGAAAAATAAATGACTTCTTAAAAAAAGATATCCAGTTTAGGAAGTGAGGGGAAGTAACTGTAGAAAGCTATTCTGAAAATGTCATGTAATCTACAGTTAGGTTATTTTGTTCTTTCCTGGATCTGTATTTTACGAAATCGGTGAGTCAAGCAATTGTCAGTAATATTTTTGTTTTTTATTTTTTATTTTTTCTTATCTTATACACGAACTATATGCATCTGTGTCTGTATTACAACTGAATGATAAAAATACAATATATAGCAGCAGGAGGAAGAATTTTAGCTTTATTTAGACTTAACTTGCAGTAAGTGTTTATTAAGTGCATCTGTCATATCATTATGGATTTGTTTTGCTAGATTCTTATGTTGGGAATTCTTTTTCTTTTTTTTTTTGATACCTGATGACGTTGAACATTTTGATTTTATTATTCTCATTCAGTGATCTATTATTCTCATTCAGCAATCTATGTAAGCAGTGTGGGACTTAAGTACAGAAATATCAGAAGTATTTACCGATGTCTTTTTTTAGTCATTTAGCAAAAGCACATCTACAGTCCATTTTAATACATTTTAGATGAAGCATTTTATGTATCGTCAAGCATATTCAATTTCTTTCAAAAAACAAACGTCACTGTATGTGAGACAGTGCTTGTAATGCAGTTATGCGGTTAATTTCTCAAATGGAAATCTTGCGCTAAATACTTTTGAATAAAACAGGTGCAAATGTGGATAAATCAAGAAGGCTTCTGTCATACACTTCAGGATGATGGTATCCTGTGTGTGTTCCTTGTGTGAGATTCTATAGGTATGCCTGCACCCTAAAGGAGGTGAAAGAGAAAAGAAAATGCTATGGAAGCCTTATGCTATATGCTTGGTCTCTTGAGAATCCTGCTCAGCAGTCGGGTCTTTGCTCTTCCATATATCTTCAGAGTTTTCAGACATTTTGATTAGCAAGTAAAAATGTTCTCGCTGCCTTACAACGTAACAAGCAGATGCCTTTTCATCATCAGGGAAAGAGAGATATGCTCCCTGTTGTTTGAAGGCAACTATCAGAAAGGTGGCATCTCTGAAGATGTGGCTAAATTAGTTCGTTCAAGACTTTGCCAATTCCTACTACTCAGTAGAAATCCTATTCCTCCATTAGAGGGTATTCAGTCTGATTCAAAGTTTATATGGACCCCCCCCTCCGTACCCCCTGAAAAATATAAGTTTTTCCTATTTGATTTGCACGGAGATACATGTGCTGGAGAGCTTTCCTAGGCAGGGCTCATCCTCTGAGGCACAGATTGGTTGGGAAGAGATCTGTGACATTACCTCATGCTCTGCAATGCTCTTTGCTCAAGGCAAAAGCATGTAGTTGGCAAAACATTGTTGGACTGGCACGAAAAGTGAACAGCTAGAATTGTGGTGGTCCCAAAGCAGAACCTGATCCTGTACAAAAGGAAACCAGCAGAGTATGAACAAACTTATCAGAGCATATCTGATGCTACGTGATTCTGCTGTTTTGCTCATGGAGTACTGTAGTCAAGAGTCCTATGAAAAGGCTGTGGACGTGAAAGTCTCTGGGAAATGGCATCTCCTGTAGTGCTTCTCCATTATGTGACCTGCCATGGCAGAGGTGTGCTGGGAGAGAGGATAAGAGACATGAATGTTCTTGATATATTGCATTAAATATATTCACACTCTCATTGCCTCTTGTTTTGTCTCTGACACAAATGCTTTCCCTTGTTGCCAGACTCTTACAGTATTCTGTTAACTAATATAATTTTATATATAGCACTCGCAGAAGGCAGTAAGTCTTCCTCCTTTCCCTTGTTCCCTCTCTTCCCCCTTGGATGAAATAGAGGCATTTCTAGTATATGTGTTACTAGAGGCTGTCAGGTGCATGTTCATTAACACAGTATACTGTAAGAATTCAGGGCTATGTCTGAGTTTCAGGAGTAGTTAGTATCATCCAGAGGTAGAAAAGGCATGGCTGTCATAGCTCTCCAAAACTTATAATTTATAACTTATCACAATTGTAATATATATTATGTTTACATATTTATCTTCAAAGATAGGACAGATATTCTCTGTATGTATTTATTTATTCATTACTTCCTATGGCAGTATAGAATATTGTTAACTTTTCTCTTTACTTCTTCCATCCTGTTTCTGCAGGTCTTGATGATTGCTTGCAGCAATATATTAAGAATTTTGAGAGAGAGAAGATTAGTGGCGACCAGCTACTGCGTATTACTCATCAAGAACTGGAAGATCTTGGAGTCACACGAATTGGCCATCAGGAACTTATCTTGGAAGCAGTAGACTTGCTCTGTGCACTGGTAAATTTCTTGGGGCAGAAGGGGAGGAAATGAATGGTGTTTGCATATTTGCAGTTTGTGTATTCGAATTTCTAGTCCTAAAAAACATTTAAACAGGTGCTTTTTGGTTTAACGGTTTAACAAACGGTTAACATTTTAAACCAGAGTCAAGATAACAACATCTACTGCTAGGATAGTGCTTGTTAAATAAATTTGCATCAGAGGTTTAAGACTTCCATATCTTTGTTTGTAGGAAAAAAGCCTACCTAAAATCACAATGAAACTAGACAGGGCTATGTTTGGAATGTAAAATAGTTAGAATGAGAGAAATCAGAATGTAACAATTGAGTGCCAGTTGCCCTTTAAAAACCAACCAACCAACAAACAAAAAAACCTCATGATATTAACCATGTTATTTAACCATATCATATAACCATGTCATTTTTCACTGATCTTTTATGCACTCCCTCACTGTATAGCAAATTATGTTTTAGATGATTATTTAGCTACTTGTATTTCACAGTAGAAAGGATGAGATACTGGAGTGGGAAAAAAAAAGTAAATAATACATAAATCCTCAATGCGGAGGGATTTTGATAATGCTCTTTTCTGTAAGGTAACGTCATGCAAAACTTTGATTATCCCCTCAGTGAGAGGTGTAGTGCTAACTTCACTGTTCTTATGAACTTCTGCATGATTGTAAAGATTGGGCACACTGTCTGCGTTTGTTGCTGTAGAAAGAATTGTGAACAGCCTACATCTGTTAAGATGTACTTGACTGCCTGAAATGGAGTTTTGTAGTTTCTAATGTGGATGATTTTTACAAGCTTCAGCAGCAGCTTTAATGAAGCCGAATCTCTGTAGAGGAAATCAAAGATGATACACTGAAAGATTCCTTAGAAGAGCTTGTGGATTCTCAGTACTCAGCAGCTTTTCTGAATATGATACTGTTGGATCTTTGGGATTGACAAAGATTGTACAGGCTTTGGATTTTCTTCTCTAGAGCATTATGTTGTGGAGTGGCTCCGTGTGATGTTAAATCCACCATTTTTAAGTGATGGAAAGTTGTAATACAAATAAATAATAAATAAATAAATATTGCTATGGACATACAAGAAGACAGTCACAAAGTGCAGACCGTGCAAAGAGAAACAAGAAAGGAAATACTTTAATTAACTGAGACAAAATCTAAGGTAGGGTGAACACTGAGGACAGTTCTTTCCAAGGGAGACAGATCGTGATTCTTTCAAATGTAACCTATTTTCACAGAATGAACCTTGTTTATTAGCTGAAATTTCCTTTTCCCCCCGGATATATAATTACAGATGTTATCATTAGACAAACAGACACATCTTGTATTTGTAGTTCCCTTTTATGAGACAATAGTATGTAGAACTAAATTGTACATAAAATAAGGAATTTTTAGTGAAAGCTTGCAATGCATCCTAAATTCATGCAAAAAGTCTCTACCTTCTTGGCCCATATGGCATATAGTGCTGTCTGCTTTTCTGAGTTGGTTTTTAAAAAAAACTTTATCATTGAAACACAATAGCAAGCATTCAGATTTCAACTTCTAATTTAAGTGGAGGCTTTTGCAGTCTCACAATTGGCTGCTGATGGCTCCTCAGGGACAGAAAATGTGATTGTTATATTGATTTTAGTGGACTTAATTTAAATTTATTGTTCACCAATCGGATAAACCTCTTAGGAAATTTAATTCAGGGACAATCCTTTTGGCTATTCTGGTCCTATACTTGCAGGCTTTCTTTTTCTTTTTTTTTTTTTTTTATTGCATCAATAAGTATCTGTCCTGGTTAGTGCTTGCCTGTTCTTCTGAATTAGCTTCTGATGTGCACTGTATGTTTATGAGAATGCTAAACCTATAAATCTTCAGCACAGGACAACTGCTTGTGCAGGTGGTCACTGTGCTGGGTTTTTGAAACGCAAGTTACCTGACTGTTTCTTCTGTTACATTGGAGTTTAACAGAGAATTCACAATAGAATTTGGCATGAGGCACAGGTTCGATCCAAGTGAATTAAGATCTAATTGGATGTTGGAAATGATCAGTAGTATGATGGGATAGAAACAGTAATATTAATTTTGGCTTGTGAGCATAATCTCTGATTCTGTACTAATGGTGTCCAACGGATTGCTTCTGATTCTCCTCTCCATTCTCTCCGAGTTGGTGAGTGAACACCTAAAGAGGCTTTTTTTTTTTTATTTTTATTTTTTTTTCTTCCCCCCCAATTAAGATCAATTGAGGAGGACAGAACCACCCCTCCTACCAGTCATTCCTGCTCCCACTCTATGGGAAGAGGTTTTTAAGACAGAGACACCATCGGTGAGGGAAGCTTCTGTGTCAGCTGATGTGCTTAGGAGATGCATCCTTCCTGTCCCTCTCCAAGGAGTTTTATGGAGAAGATTTCCTCTGACAATTTCTGCTCTATAGCTGTGGTTGTGGCAAATGGCAAACTGGCTGCTTGTGTTGCATGTCTGCAGTTTGTGGAGCAATGTTTTCTTTCTGGAGGAAAATGAAGGACCTGATCAAGTATGTTTGGTGTGGGCCTGGGTCCTGCTTGCCTCAGACAGGCTGTGGAATAGTACTAAAAAGACAAACTGCTAGCCACAGTAATAATTGGGAGCCACTTATCATAAAATCATAGAAGTACCAAGTTTGGAAAAGACCTTCAAGATCATCTAGCTCAACTGCCCATCTACCACCAATATTTCCCTTTTAAACTGTGTCCCTTAATACTACATCTAAATGTTTTTTTGAACACCTCCAGGGATGATGACTCCACCACCTCCCTGGGCAGCTCATTCCAGTGCCTGACCACTCTTTCATAGAAGTTTTTCCTAATGTTCAACCTGAGCCTTCCCTGGCACAACTTGAAGCCATTCTCTCTTGTCCTGTTGCTAATTATGTGTGATTACTTTTGGTAGTGTTCTTTGAAGGGTGTTCTTTTTTGACAGAAGTTGGTAGGTAACTGTGGTCTCTCTCAGTATTCCCATCCCGTCATGAGCATTTGCAACAAAGGGATCCTCCAATGTTAGCTGATAAGAGAACAAATGCTGGACTATGTCACCATCTCACTTGAGTCTCTCTTGGCTGACACTTGCCATACTGTGCTGTTGACAAGAGAGCAAGTATCCTGGGGGTGAGATACACAGGTTTTCTTTTCCTGTGATACTACAGAGGAGAGAAAGACATGGCTCAGCTGCTACTGCTGTTACACATCACACTTGCTAATAATGTTGCATGCCTTCTCAGCTGAATGTGTCCCATGTAATTAATGTGTTTTGTATGTTTGCACTCTCCTATAGATTATCTTTCTTCTTCCCCCCCCCCCCTTTTTTTTTTTTTTTAATTTAATAGAAAGTTTATGTCAGAAAGGGCAACTCGAATGAAACACGCTCTGTGCTTAAAAGAAAGAAGAAGGTCTGTGGTGGTATTTCATTGGTAGGAAGCTGTTACGTGGTTTTTGGGTCAGACCTTGAGAAAATATCATGATGGAGCTGCTCCTGCAAGGTTACTCTATTTCTAGCAAGACACGTCTCTTCTCCCTCCCTTTTTGTTCAGTTAGACATGAAATCCAGACCATGCTGGTGACACCATTAGATTCCTATTTGATGTGGATGTGCATGTTTATTCACGTGACAAAATCTCAAAAAAATATTTGACATCTCAGAACTTTGTAAACTAAGAAACTCCATACCAAATGTGAAGATTCAGGAGAAATTGCAATGAATTAGCTGTTATGCTATGTTTCCTGTGATTTTGGTTGATGAAGAAGATGCAAATAGTTTCATTTGATTATAAAGAATTTCATTTTTAAAAATGAGGCCATATGTAAAAATATAATGTGAAGAAAAGTCTACTTAGAAAACTTCACAAATGACTTCTGAACTATTTAAAATTTTCTTTAAACAAAAGAAATTAGTAAAGTCCTGTGAGTTTGCAAAAATATTTTTCAGAAAGCCTGAATTTATATATTAAGTAAGATATTCTTACTTAAAAGGAAAACAAAATGGTTTTGCTTTATACAGGATATTGGTTTTAGTTCTTATTTCATACTGGTTACTTCTAAATCGGTTGTGACTTCACGGGAAGTCATTACACACTGGATATTTCAGTCTGTAAATATGAGAGATTGCAGTGGATGAAACAGCAATGTTGCTTGGCAGAGAATATGTTGGGGTACGCTAATAACACAACATTACTTGTCATTTACCACTAATACAAAACGTTTAAATGCAAATGAATGTGGAAAATAGATCTACTTCACCCCCTGAATGATTCAGTTTTTTCGTAAGAATTATGTCCTTTATCTTAACATCATCTTCTTGCCATTTCTCACAGAAAAATCCTTTCCTTTGCCCTTATCACTAGTCAAATCTTAGAGCTACTTTGTCAGTAATAGTGAGTATTAGACTTAAACCCTGTAGTGCTAAATGAGGAATGCTTCATTCCAGAATGGAAGCTTGTTTATACTGTAGTTAGGATTTATTGTTAATATTCTGCATGCTCACGGCAGAAGAATTGCCCTTTTTTTTCTCTTGCCCTTTGCAAGTTAAAGTTCTACTTATCTATCAGCTGCTGCCTTGTCTTCAGCCTGAAATAACTTTCTATGAAGAAGGAAATTCTCAATCAAAGGTCCATAACCAGATCAATAAAACTAATGAGTTAAAGGCTGTCTGATAGCTGATATTTGTAGCTGTTAGTAAATCTTTTGTGCAGAACTGCAGTAAACCCTGTGGCATGCCAAAGGCAGTAAATATGTCCATATGCAAGGAATGAATGTCCTTCCTCTGATCTGTGTTTGGGTTATTCTGAGTTTTGGGCAAGTGCAAAATAGATGCCTTGGTTAAAAGCAGGCCTGTTGAAAAAGACTGATCTTATTTCCTTAGCTGTTTAAGAATTTGGAACTGCATGTAACTGAATACGTAAGTGTTATTTTGAATTCTAGAGAAGTAAGAGGACCTGGCTGACTAAGGACAAAATTACATGAGAAAGTTGGAA